GCCATATATATCAAACACTTGGGGTCCATCCGATTATTTGGTAGGTATAATTCTCTCAGGCTTCGGTTACGTCGCAGAGATTGCGCAATATATTGGATTCCACCCTAAAATAACAACAACAATAATAATAATTTAAGCATTAAAATCCATAAAAAATTTAAATACACCTCAAAAACAATACCAATTTCAACCTTTATTTCATTCCCCCTAGCATCAAATACTTCCAATCCATGTCTCCCTTGCAATTTTTCCGCTTTATCTTCTTCATATTCATCAAATTCAGACCGAATCGAGTTGGTTTGCTCCAAATTCAAATCATCATAATCTCGTAGCATTACTCCAATCCACACTGCACCGACATGACTTATACGATTGTATCGTAGAGATAGATATTTCAAGTTTGAGCGACGAACGCCAGGTCCTAAAAAATACAGTAAATACGTGAGCATACTTGTATGACACAAGACAAATTTTATGAAAGATTCTCCCTCAACAAAGAAAAAATACCCAAAACTTCAAGCCCATTATTTTTCAAACCACAACTATCCAACTTAAGTGTCTCCAGAATGGATCCTGATCTGTTACTTCCTTGAATTAAAGCTTGTGCCAAGAATGTGACTGATTTTTTGTCGATATTCGTTCCAGAAAGGTCAAGATAAGTCAAGCTTTTCGACTAATTTTAAAGAAAAGCGTAAGGTAAACACATATTGTAAAGAAAATGCACATTATTTAGAGAATAAATTACCTTTTTTATGTAAAGAGCAATGTAATGAAACCCGTTTGACCTTAACCTTTTATTATTAGATAAACTCAAATAGGAAAGAGTATCGTTGACAAGTAAGCTGTGACAAAGAATCTTCAAAGTCTATTAGAAAAAAAACTCTTCAATTAATATCAGCATCAAGATAAAATCGAGGAAATTGACATAAAGAAATAATAATTCACTTACATCATCTTCAATCTCACATCTCTCCAATATTAGTTTCCGTAAACCGCATTCCAATGTTAACACGTCTGCCATCGGTTCGGCTATCCTTCTATCGATTATGTCACCTTTAATTGATCAGAAAATTTGCAGGTAAAATATCTTTTTCACATATCATAACAAACAAGATATTAAACTAACCCGTCAAGTCAATAATTTTCAGTGAACCCCCCGGTTGACTTGCTCTCTAAATCGATGAATTAAACCTTCAGTAAGGAATATGTGCGTGATTTCCCAATAATAATATGGTAGGTCAACGCAAAATGATGCCTACTCTAAAAATGGTGACCAACCGATCCAAAGGAAATTCCTCGCGGTACTTGCACGCGGCCAAATAATATTGCACAATCTCTTTCGCGGAGTAAACCTTCTTTTCCGGTTCAGGATGCGACGGTGCATTTCGTTTTTGATTCTCACTCCACTCACGAAAATCATACTCATCTTCCCAATCACTGTCGTCACTATCGCAGGGGATTGGTGAGTGCGGATATTCATCAGTTAGTTTGGCCACCGAAAATCGAACTCTCTTCAGCGATTTTTGTGAGAGCAAACTACTGTTCACCAAACTTGACGATTGCTGAGAAATTTGATCGGCGGGTAACGTGGTATCTATTTGTAGTGGTGATGATGGCTTTGGTGGCTGTTCCTCTTGTGGTGAATAAGGGACATTAAGGCGCTTAAACGCAGTCATTAGGAATGAGGTGGTAGTAGGTGATGTTGAGGCAACGTTGGTAACATTCTGAATGCGCGTGTTAAGCGTAGATAGCCAGTCACGTTTCCAAAGTGGTCGTGTGTTAGGTTGAGGTGTGGTTTTTAGTATTCCTTTCTTAGGCGGTTGAGCGTTGGCAGCAGATATCGGCCTTCGATATGGTACAAGCTGTAGTTTTGGCGGCGATAGTTTAACTTTTTTTTGTGAATGGTTTCATATTTAACGCTAAATTTTATTCAAAGAAACATAAATATAGAGGGATTTATAACTTAAATTGTATGAATCATTACCTTTGGATTTCTGTTTTTCTTCATCCTTCTGCTGTAATAACCAGTGGACGACTG